TTTCTTTCTTTTTTTTTTTTTTTTTTTTTTATTCATTTTTTGTCTTTTTTTTTCTAAAAATTTGGGGGGGGGGGGGCAACCATGGCTATAATGTCTTTTTCCTGTTTAATTTATAAATTTTACAACCAACCTTCTTTCCATTCTTCTGAGCTTTGTTCTCGTTAGGACATGTGCCCATTCTTATTCTTTGTACTGTTGAAGGTATTTGCTGAAACGTTTTATCTTTTACTCTCTGTAACCATAATTAAAGTGTAACCTATAGCCTATAGTATATAGTATAGGCCTACTATTTTTATTTACACAAATTGTTATTGTTATGTCTCAATAATCTTCTTGAAAGCTTTATAGCGCAGTCCAACACTCTATGATGGAGTTAACATTGAGAGTTTGTTATTTTTGGGTTGGTGGAAGCATACAGTTAATGCAAGTTTTAGGGTGAGATGTTAGAGGTTAAAAGTAGGGGAAATTGACAGGAGAGAAGATCGGGAGAGATGGGGAGTGTAGAGAGGGTGAGGCTAATAAATTTAAAAGGTGAGTAAGTAAGATGACAAAAACAGTAAATATGATTATTAAATATGGGAAGGTTTCAGGTTCAGAGCACACCTTCAGCCCATAGTGGTAAAATAGCATTCTTTGAAAATAAATTATAATTATAACTATGTAGGCGTAGGTCTAAAATAATTGAATCTTACCGGTTCCTACAACTTTAGAGCATGAACTTAGAGAAAAGTGAAATTAAAGTGATCGAGGGAAAATGTTAAATAGTTACCGAAACGAAACCTTTCTTCTTTTTTTTTTTTTTTTTTTAATAAGTGGAAAGAAAACAATCTTATGAAAATGTTTAATTATAAAAATATAAACTTAAAATAATTAAAATGGGAATATGTTTTAATTTTATGAAATAAACTTAACATACATTGTTTATTTTTACGTAAATATTTGAATATTAAAAGACCTTTAATTAGTTTATACATAAAAATACATTCTGATATTTTTTCCCGATTCATAATTTTGTATCCATTCGAAACTATTTTGTTTAGACATGGCTGCCATGTGAAAATTAAAACTGGATGAGAAACTGTTGCTGACCCCTTGTACCTTAATTATCCCTGCATCCTTTAAAAAAGTATAATGGCTAGTAGCAATAAAGCAGTTGAAGCTGCAACAGCTTCTTTGGTTCGGGAATACCTGAGCAGAAAAGTAAGTTGTAAATGTGCATTTTGACGTTTAAATTCATGATAGGTTAATAAATCATGACAATTCAAAGAAGACATCCTTCATTATCATTAATCTTGACTCATGTCATTATTAATAATTCTAAATTTTGGTGGTGTTATTTGATTTTAGGCCCGTGTTTGGTAGGGAAAGAAGCACAATGCTTCCTTTCTCAAATAACCCTAAGCCTTTAAGTCAGGATGAATGTAATGTAGTCTTAGTGAACTTACCCGGTAGTGATTTTGCTAGAGAAAAATCATACTCTTGTACCACCACAGTTTATACCCATATGTAGATACTGATCTTCCATCAAGCACCTCACCTGGTGTCAGATAGGGGAAAGTCCACAAGATATGATGGTGGGTACTGTGTAAATAAAATAACCAAGGCGAACCAAAGTCAGAAGCTACTGCCTATTGTAGGAAGTGAAGGAATCCACAAAGGCTAGGGAACCTTACCCAAAAATTAAGGCAGCTACCCAGAGAGATATAAGCGGCAGCCCCCAATACGGTTGTGCTCAGGGCCAGTCAGGGCAAACAATCCAGACATGTAAAAAAATAAATGTCATGAAAGCCAAACAACATAATAAAACCGGACTGAATCTAATGGAAATCAACGTATGCCTGTATATTGACGTAATTTTTGGATTGCGACTTGGAATTTACTAAGCCTGGTTAGAAAAGGAGCGTTAGCCAACCTAATTAAAAATAACATCTCTAATCTCTTTTGCTGTTTACCATAACATTTATGGGTTCATGCACCCACCAGAGGTCAGATTAAAGAATACTTTTATGAGACACAGGAAAAGATCTGTGATGAGTCATCACAACATGACTGTAACAGACCATGTTTGCACACAAAACCATTGAGTCAGAGAGGTGGCATAATTTGAATATTGAACTATGTTAACGTGTATTTTTCACCGGGAAAGAGAGTAAATTATGTTTTTGTAAAGCGGAAGTGAACCACACGCTTTGTTGAGTGATCAGGGGCAGTACATCGAATGTCGCAGTTAAGTGAGGACGTGGTTGTTTTTCTGAGAGGTGAATTCTCTATACCATGGAATATTATATATAATATACATATGTGAAATAATTGGATTGTGGATGTTATTAACTGGATATTCATGCAAGGATTCTTCTTAATATTATTATTGTAAAAGATGACGTAATAAAGTACTGTGAGTTTAATTGGAAATTAATATACTTCTTTGTGTGACTGGCTAAGTGAGTGAAGGAATGGAAGAAGTATTACTCTACACAAGCCGGCATCCTGAATCATCAACATAAAAGCAGTTAACCATGCTACTGACACAACACCCTAATAAATAGCATGTCAGAGCCATGTGTTACAATGACATTAAAATAGTGATTGGTGACATTAATGCCAAAAAGTACAGAAGAAGTGTTTATGCAAACTATTTACAAGGAGAGTCTGCATGAAGAATGCAATGACAATGGGATTTGACTCATAAAATTTGCTTAAGGAAAAGGGATAAAGTTAGCAGCACCAGGTTTCCATACAAAAAATATACATAAAGCTACTTGGACCTCACCAGATGATATCACTCACAACCAAATTGACCATGTTCTAATTTTTGGGAGGCATAGATCAGACATACTAGATGAAAGAAGCTATTGAGAATCAGATGCAGACTCTGATTATCTTTTGTAATGATTAAATATAAGCAGAGAATAAGCATAATTCACAATGGCAGAAATCAAAGAGAAAAACAATATGATTACCAAAGACCCACGAACTGCAAAAGCTTACCAAAATGAAGTAGAAACATAGCTAGAATCATCACAGGAGGAAACAAACAGGGAAAACAACATAAATGAACATTGGGATAGGATAAAAAATGCTATGCAAAGATCATCAGAAAAAGTAATAGGATTTCAGCAAAACTTACAGTAGAGTAGGCTGGTTTGATAATGGATGTATAGAGACTATCGAACAAACAGAAAAGGCATGAATGACCAAGAGACAAAGGGAAACCAGAAAGACAAGATAAACATACAATGAAGCCAGACGGAAAACCACAAAAGTGTGTAGGATTTAAAAAATGAGAATGAGTAAAAGTTAAACTAAAAGAAATAGAGGACTTATCAGGAGAGGAAAATATTAGAGGAATGTACATAAAGATAAAAGATGGACAAAAATGGATTACATGCCAGATCTCAAATGTGTGAGAGCCAGGATGGAAAATCAATTAAGGAAAATATTAAAGTACTGAAGAGATGGGCTGAATATTTTGAGGGCATGGTTGTTTGGGAGTCGACCATGACCACTTTAATCATCAGATTTGTGCTAGTTTTATCTGTGGGTGGGCAGATGGCTAATGAGGCTGACTGTGGCAAAATATTTTCGTGTGCAATAGTTGCAGGGGAATGATGGGGCATCTGTGGGAGCACAGTCAGACCGGTCCTTCCTGGCATGTCTCTTGCGCTCTGCAGCCTCTGTTCTATTGCATGGAGCTCCTGTGTAAGTGGAACACCATGATGTTTGATCCTTTGCTTTTTCCTCCCATGTGTCTGGGTTTATGTCAAACACTTTAAGTGAGGCTTTCAGGTTTTCTTTAAAACGTTTCTTCTGCCCACCAGCAGACCGCTTTCCTTGTTCGAGCTCACCATAGAAAATTCTTTTGGGCAGACGGTCATCTGACATTCTCACAACTTGTCCCGCCCAGCGAAGCAGGGACTTCATTAAAATGCTGGGGAGACCTGCCTGTGTGAGCACCTCAGAGTCTGGGACTCTCTCCTGCCATTTAATTTTGAGGAATTTTCTGAGTCTTGTTGTATGACAGTGGGTATACTAAATGCAGGCAATGGACAAGATGAAGATATCAACCACCACACAGAGGACCAGACCTTTTAACAAACTCCCCAACTTTGAAAGAAACTACAATTCTATGAAAAACAACAAAGCCTCTGGAGAAGACCTCATCATAGCAGAACTTATTAAATAGAGAGAAAGAGAACTATATACTCAGACACATAAACTTATAACTATAATTTGGCAAGAAGAGAAAATTCCAACAAAATGGGAAACAACACTATTAACCCCAATACACAAGAAAGGTTCCAAACTTCAATTCACAATTTACAGAGGAATTTCCCTATTAAAGGTTACATAGCAAAAAACCGACAAAACTAATTGCCAAAAGACTGCAACCATACACTGAACAATGTGGATTCAGACAAAACAGATCAATGACTGATCTGATTTTCACCATCAGATGCCTATTAGAGAAATGTTATGAATATAATATCCTGGTACATCAAATCTATGAGTACTATAAAATGGCCTATGACAGCATCAAATGAAAATATATAAGTGCGACTCTGCAGAAGTTAGGCATACCAACAAACTGACAAGACTAATAAATAAAACATTAAACAAATCAAAAAGCAAAATCAAGGTCCACAGAGATAATTCAAGGGAATTTTAGATTAGCCTGGGCCTAAGACCAGGAGTTAGGAGACTCACTGTCTTGTATGCTATTTAAACTAACATTCAAAAAATCAAAGAAACATACATATTGACACCTGAGGAACAATAGCAGGATACTTTCTCAGGGAGACCCAAGACCCACAACCAGTAGGCACTCTCTACAATCAACCCCTTCAGTATCTTGTGTATACTGATGACATAGCCCTGTTTGGGAAAAGTAGTAAAGACATATCAAAAGCCTTTATTTAATATGAAGATGCATCATTTCGAGCAGGGCTGGAAATTAACAACCAAAAAAACAAAATACATGACCATGTTAAGAGAAGAACAGACAGATGAAACCATTAAAATTAGAAACCACACTTTTGAAAAAGTAAATCAATTCATATACCTAGGATCTTTATTAAATGAAAGAAATTAATTACTTACAGAAATAAAAAAAAAGAATAGTGGAAGGAAACAGGGCACACTTCAGTAGGCAGGGTCATAGTCAAAAGTAAAAGCATTACAAGAAAAACAAATAAAACAATATATAAAACTGTAATCAGACCAGTTGTAACATACACAAGTGAAACTTGGACCCTAACAAAAATGGCAGAAAACACATGGGAGGAAAAAGTTATCCAGAAAATATAAGGACAAAGGATGAATATGGATGGAGAATACAAACCAGCCAGGAATTGTATAGTCTATATCAGGATACTATGCTAGTAGCAGAAATAAAAAAGTGCAGGCTACTCTGGACGGGACACATGAAAAGAATGCAAAATGACAGAGGAGTGAAAAGGGTGCACCATTAAAACACCAGAGGAAAACTTATTTAATTATTTATAAGCTGTTATTATTAAAATAGGCCTGCTGTCTATCTTTCTGTACCTAAACATTTGACTACCCGGTAATTTAAATATATGTAAAAAATTGTAAAAAAGAATGATAAAAATAGTATTTATTATCTTGTGGCTATGGCCTAACCTAGTCACTTTATCTTAATCTATTTGTAAATTAATTTGTTTATATCCAGGCTACATTAATTTAAATTTCAAGTTAAAAACCAGCCAACTCCAAATTCACCCACTATTGCCTTACCTACTTTTGTTGTAAATAGGACTTTCTTATCTATCTACATGCCACATTTCTTATGGACAATTTTTTTTTACAAAGTTATTTTTTTTAATGTAATTGGTGATACTGTGTAGTTAAAAAGATTATTACGCTTTTTATTATCATATAACCATGGTGTCTATTTTATTGGAGTTTATTGTGTATAATTTTCATCATTGTTTAATGTCTCCTGCTTATGATTATACAAGTGTAAAGTTTTAAGCAAGCAGGAAGAAAAACAGTGAGATTTCCTATTTTGTCTAGCTTCAAAAGCTTACAGCATAGTCTCTCAATTTTTATGGATATACTCAAGTTCTTACAACATTCCAGGTTGAGGGTAGCCGAAGGGCATAGAACTTTAGGAAAAAAAGGGGTTGTCCCCCATAGCATGTAAAGACTGAATCCGGCAAATTGTGCGGAAGAACCACTACTTGGTCAACGGACAAAAGGCGGAGACAGCACAGTGGTGTGAATCGCTGAGAACATGACCAGACACGTAGAACGCCATGGTCATTCACTGCATGGGTGACTGGGTGGCCGAATGGTCTAAACTGAGCAAACCTCAATTTCAGCCAAAGGCCGGTCAAGCAAAAACATCACCCCGGGTGGATGAGACTCGTTAACCTTGGTCGGCAACTCATCTAAGAGAAGGAAACTCTGAATTCAAACCCGGAGTTGGAGTCCCGTAAGGCGCATACAATGTCCATTCCTGCAACCGTACCCATCCCTGGTCGTCTTGACGTAGAGTCTTACCACTGGATATGGTGGGCTCAGACGAGAGAGTGAGGTTGACGCTGCGCAACTCTTCCTCACTTTAAACAAAAGTCACCCGCGCAAGTCATCAGTCACCAGACGACTCGATGGTCATCGTCGATCCTCGACGGACGAACAACAACAACATACTTCTACAGACAAGTCATTTTAATTGAATTTTTATTAACTGTAACTTAACATAATTTTGGCATCAGTGATGTATGCCTTCATTATATGCCTAAAGCAAAAGGGAATAATAACTCCATTTGGAAACCAACAACATGTTTAAAAAATATATAAATATAAATTCAACAAAAGGAAAAGTATTACTTGCTTTACCTTTATGGGGTATAACTATTTAATGAGAGTGTATATTCACAGTGAAATAAGATCATATTTAAATAAACATTTAAACTTAAAAAATTGATCTTGATAAAGGAGAGCTATGTTTCTGCCAGATTATCTGTATATTTTCTACTAGAAATTCTAGCTGAGCACGCAGAGCACAGGAAAGATGATGTGCATTAAGTAAGGCAGACATATAGAGCAAACAGCAACAAGTCAAGAAGGAAGACATTGACCTGCCATTTATCATCCCATTCATTATCATATTTCAATCCATGTGTTGTATCACACATTCAATCTTTGCATTTAAATACCTTATGTCTGTATGTTTCTAACATTGTCACTGTTTTATCACCAAAAACTTTGTTGCAAAAAAACTGTTCCCCTTTTCACTTACAAAAAAAAGATTAAATAACATAAAGTCCTTCTGCCAAAAAAGTAATGTAAATATTAAATGCTACATCCAAAAGTGCATGGCCGAAGTGAATGAAAGGATTTTCAGAAAATCCTCATCACCACTTTTATTTATTTTTTTTTAAAAATGGGCAGGCACATATGGCAAAATGAACATAGCATAAAATAGGAGTGGATTAAAAGATTGATATCAAGACCCCTTACCAGGACTTGTCACAGGGAGCAGGCTCTCACCAAAGCCTTATGGCACAGGGAATTCAAATTTACTCAGTGACACATGGCTTACTTTTAAAAGATCTGCTAATAAAATTATAAATTCATAAAGAAAAAGATATCTTTAAGTTTTAAAAAATGAATTTTCATATTTGGTATTTTTATAGCATTTTAATAGTTTTTACAACTATAGTTTGGCATTTTTGTTAAGGACCTACAAAAGTAGAAGGATATGGGCATCTCTCAACCTCTCAAAGGCACTGATCACTCTCACTATAAATATGACTTCTTTTAAGAAAAAGTATTTTAACATAAATTAATTTTTAAATATTTATAATTTTAAATTCTAATTGAAATATCATTCACATAACTCAGTCATTTAAGTTGAAATCGTTAAATTTTGATTTTTTTTTTCCTTTTATTTTCAAAAAAAAAATTCTTAAGGGATTAAAAGAAACTTTAGAAAAAATGGATAAAGAGTGTCCCAGGAATGAGTTTAGCATCAGCAACAGACAGACATTAATGAAGCACATACACTTGGAAAAACTCATGAAGAAAAATAAGGTAAGATAACAATAAAATTATGTGTGAAAATTGTTTCCTGGCAATGGCCATATTTTTGTGTTGGCATCACTCCTATATGGCATGGGTTTCCCCAACATGGTTTGCAACTCCAAATGGGGTTGCTAAGGGTTTTTCACAGGGTCACTGGTTGAAACAGTAAACAAATGGAAATATCATTACTTTAAAACAATTTTTAATCTCAAATCATTATAATACTCTTCTAGATTCTAAACATCTCTGTGAGAGTGGATTTTTGATGCTACTGAATTTAATTTTAAAAGAATTAGATTGAATGCTGAAAATAATATGAAGTTAGTAAGTTAGCATTAAAGAAAACTTAACCATGAATTCTGAAGCTTGTTTGTGTGTTAAAATTTCAATCCTTACATTTAATTTGGTACGTTAAAATGATATTGAATTTTTTTATGCTGAAAAATCTATTTTCTTTGTGTTTTATGTTACCCTATTAAAATTCCCCTTTAAATGTATCAGGATCACTGGTCACTTTGCGTCTGTGAAATGGGGTCGTAGGTCACCTTCAGGGAGATAATTCAAGGAAATTTTAGATTAGAATTGAATAGGGTCATGATTCAGAAATGGGTTTGTAAGGAGTTAACGTAAGCTATGCCTGCCACAGCATCACTTAGCTATTAACACTAGAAACTGAAAGTCACCATAAAGAAAGAAAAAGCTGAAGATTTTTAAGGAGAAATTTTAAAAGGACCTTGAGAAATTAAACAATTCTTTATGTTAAAAATTAAGAAGAAATAGGCCTATATCTTTTCCTTAGTTAAAATATATCTTCCTGTCTAAAGAATAATGAAGTTATTTTTTAAACCCTAATGACAGTTCTTAAATGACAATCTGAACTTAAGCAAGAAATGCTGCAATATGTAAAAATATAATATGTGAAAAAGAATGTTAAAAACCACTATGTATAATTGTATACAATTGAAAATTCAATGACATTTTTAAAGAGAATTTTTAAAAATTAAAACTATGTCAAATCTTAAATATTATCTCTTCACTCATTTAATTTTTATGTGACAAGCTTTTTACAAAAGTCATTTCAGAAAAAAAAAAGATAAATAATTTCCACCTGTTTATCTTGTTTAAGGAAGAAAAGGAGCCCCTGCAAACTATGCTTGAGATCATGACCAAAGGTTTTATGGATCGGCAACCTCTAACAGGCAGGCAGACGTCAGTAACCTCAGAGGGCAGCTCCTTAAAAAGGCAGAATTCAGATATTAACTTTAGTCCTCAAGCTAATCAGCCGTTGAATGGGTCCCCTTTGGCAAACCACACAAAGTCCTCTTCAACAACTAATAATGCTAAAAAAGGTTGTTCACTGATAAATATTTATTCTAAAAATCAGTTACCCAAAATCTTTTTCAAAATTTAGAAATAAAAATGCCATAAAAGAAAAAGATATTGATACAAATTGGAAATGTTATAAACCCAAACATTTGAAATTAATGTTAATGATATAAACTTAATCATAATGTTTTGTTATAGAAAAGTCCTTAGGTGATTTAGTTGTGGATGATGATGTTGAAGGAGAGACTTTAATTGGAAGTGGCATGTCTGGTTTAATGTCTGTGGATCCTTATGAGTCACCACCTCTGCAGTTCTCAACAATGGCCACAAAAACTCACCCATTGTCAGCCAAACAGAGGGGAGCTATCATTAGCAACAATGATGATGTGAGTTGAACTGGATATGACTAATATTTATTCTTTTACACTTCAAAGTTTTAGTCTTTTATTTTTATCCAATGTTTAAGTATTTTCAGTTATTCATATCTTTATACCAATGTTTATTCTCTATAATACTCTCTAAAACATTTCATATTTAAAATAAGTTAATTTCATTTAGCAAGAAATTATTATTTTTTCTTTATTAGCTGTTGGCAAAAAGGCAGAGAAACACTGCATCAAAACTGTCACCCAAGTTATCAGCATGTCAACAAGAGCAACTGAAGCGAGGGGTCGCAACTCAGCAAGCTGTCAATTTGAGTGCTGTTGAGTTAGCAAATAGCCCTGGCATGTCAGATGGGACCAACAGTGGAAGTTCAAATATCTCGAGTCCAGAATTCCCTTTTGACTCTCACAAGTCAAAACAGAGAAATCTGCCTAAAAAACCAGATGATCCCCCAGTCTCATTTGAAGCCTTGCTGATGAAAGGAGAAGAGAGAGCCAACTTGCTACAGAGAATTGGGCTAGACAATAGAACTAAAGACAATGTAGCAGTAGAACAGGCCTACAAAGTTGAAAACTCCAGCATTTTTGAGGAAAAAAAAATAAAGCCAGCACAAAAAAATAATAGGACTTTGTAAGTGATAAGCATAAAAAAATTGTTACAGAACAAGTTGAATTGTAGCTGTCAGAAAATAAATATAAAAATTCAAGGAAACTTATTAAGAAACTTTGCATATTGAAAATATTTTACAATTTATTTGGGTTTAATGATGTTTAATGGCCATAATATTAGGGTCCAACTTGTCTTTTTAAACTTATTCTTTTACCTTAAGAAACCCAAGTTTACCGAATTCATCAAAGGCAATGGACATTGAGTTGGGTGACATTGACGATTGTGAAGTTGAAGTTGGGAATATCAATCCAAAACCATCCTTAATATATAAACCTCTGAAGGTTTTGAAAATACCCAGCTCACCACTTGACTTAAGAACTGCAATAGTAAGTTTGTGATTGGCAATGAAAGTTTTAGGCAATTTAGAATATATTAAAAATATTTGATCTGCTTTATTAATTTAATACATGCTTTGTGTCAGCAATGAGTCTTATATTTTGGTGCAAAATTGACTTTCTGACACCTGTTTACCATTATTTTATAATTGATTGCATGGTTGGGATGCAGTATGATTAAAGTTACTGGTGCAGCTTTTTGAAGATTTCACAATTGTAATGTTTACAGAACAGTTTTGAGGTTAAATGAAAGTTTGTTCAGGGGTATTACCTTGTATTCCACTATTTAAGCTTGCAGATGTCTCATACTTTAGTTATGGGTTTCTCAAAAACATGTAATTTTAGATAATCTAAGGATACTAAAGTACCCCTTGTTCATTATTTTGTTTTGTTTATTTGCAGGCCTTGAAAAATATAGTTCTTGGCTCTCCTAGTCAAAAATACAGTGATGAATGGCTTTGTCAGAGTTTTACTTTTAATGACCTGCCAGATATCAAGTATGGCTTAGTGCAAAAAAAAGTGGGTTTGTTAAACAGCACACTATGAGATAAAAAAAATTATTGATTTTTTTTAAAAGTCCAGGATCTAAATCATTGAACTTACATATAATGATATTTATTTAAGTCATTAAAAAAATTCATTTCATTAAAAAAATATTTTTGGCATGACATGATTATTTTTTTTTTACATCTTACCACAGGGTGGCCCATGTGGTGTCTTAGCTGCAGTTCAAGCATGTCTACTTCAAGAAATGTTGTTTGGGGAAAACAAGTTATCAAACACTAAATTGTAAGTGTAGAAGTATGTATAATTTTCAATGCAAAATATAAATAACAATTTTAACAAGGAGAGTCTGCATGAAGAATGCAATGACAATGGGATTTGACTCATAGAATTTGCGTAAGGAAAAGGGATAAAGTTAGCAGCACCAAATTTCCATACAAAAATATAAATAAAGTTACTTGGACCTCACCAGATGATATCACTCACATGATATGTCTCTCATTTGGGTGGTTAACTGGTATATGTATTATATATATGGCATCCTTCCGTCTTCGCGAGACGATGGAGTAGCTATGTTGTCCTACACATCGACGAGTAGCTCACTAGGCCAATCCTAGAATCCTAGAATGACAATCTCGACTGCATTTCTCGTTATGGCTATATATCAGATGGTTTGTAGTTCGAAATATTCCGTATCAACAAAGTGTGATAATTTACGTCACACCATAATTTTGATTCATCTGATCTTGCCTTGATAACAGCCTGTTGCACACTATTTACCATTCCATGCAGTGACACCAATAATTATATTGCACATAATTTGGAAGTTGAAGCTAAAGATAATTTAAAAGATGATGGTGATCTGAGGTGCTGTGGGTAATGCTTTTGTTTTGTTTTCAGTAAAAATCCATCAAGAATAGAAAGATCTACTGCACTAGCATTGGGACTTAGCAATATATTTTGGAGGGCTGGAAATTTGACTGCAGCAGTTGTCACTGTGTGAGTATATGATATTGCTTTAGAAATTCAATTTTTTGCAAAGATATTTAAAATTTAATCAATGGAAGAAGATTAAATAATTTTTAAAAAGTTGCATTAGCAACAAAGCAATACAAACCATTAGTTTATTAATTTATTTGCAAGGAAAAGCTAATACCAAATTAAAGAATGGGATTAGTTTTACTAAAAATCTTAAATTTTAAAAGAAGATATGATAGAGTTTTGCAAGTATTTTAACGTCAATTGTGTTATTTTATCTCTGACTTAAGAGTCATAACCCATAAGGACATGTTAACTTTCTGTTTCTCTCACAGGCCTTCTTCAACCACTCATATACTCAGTAGCACAAAATTCAAACAAGATGGTGTAACAGAAAAAGTGAGCTTAAGTTTTACTGAAAACCTTAGTTACTGTCATATCAACTATTATTTAGTGTGTGCATTGACAGATTTAGGGAAAGGACACCTAAGCATGCACCTCTCCACCCCTGGTATTTTTATGTTTATATAATAGAAACATTCATTTAAAAAAAATTAATTTAGATACTTTTATAAACGTCTTTTGCATGTAATTAATCAATTTGATACCTATACCATGAACGTTACATTTGTAATATGAAGACATGTCATTTTTGTTTTTGCTCTGTATCATTGGTGTGTGTGAGAATTTTCTTGTGCCCCCCCCCCCCTGTTTAATTGGAAATGTATTATTGTCATCTTTTTAAACCAATTATTTCAGTTATCTGTGTATACCTTCACAAATTTTGAGGAACTCTGCAGTTTTATGATACAATCAGTTTCAGAGGTAGGAATGTATATTTTTTAGCTGTACTGAAAATAGACTTTGATCAACATTGATTAACCATTACTATTCTTCAATGAAAAAATTGTAAAACTGTCAAAGTTTCATTGTGATAGCTTCTTTTAAAGAAAAAAATTTGTATTTGATTGATTGCAGCTCAGGATTGGGTATTTTAAAATGCCATAACAAGAAAACTAATTGTGAAAAAAAATAAAATTAAGCATAGGGTCAATATTTTTATCCTAAGGAATCATGTGAATGAAATTAAATAACCCCAATTTTGTATACAGTTTGAAACAGAGGGATGTCCAGGTGTGATCCTAGCGATGTACTCTGCCATTCTCTCCAGAAAAACTCACCAGTAAGGATTTTATCTGAATTAAAATGTTAATTTGTTTTTTAAGAATTTTATATATCTGCAGAATATCTTAATATCAACAACAAAAAATCAATAATAATTTGCCATGATTTAATAACCTGCTGATAATTACTTAGCATTAAAGTAAGAAAAAGTCTTTCTGAGAGCCAAAAACAGACTAATTACATTGATTACCGGGCACATGCTGTCTGTTCTCTGTCACAACTTTTTCTTGATTTCCTGCCCTTCCTATCTTACTGAACTTCTTTCTGTCTATTCAACCCTTCAACAGCTGCGTTCCTCTGCAGACACGTGTATTCTTTCTGTTCCCAAGACATGCACTAAAACATTCGGTGATCTTTCTCTTTTTGTGCCCCAAAACAATGGAATTCTTTCACATTAAATATCTGCAATATCCAAGCCTTCAAAACCGCACTCAAGACACATCTCTTCAAACTCTACTATTCCAACTCATTCTCACCCTCTCTGACCGATAAACAATGCTGCTGGGTGCCATCCATGGCTAGACAGGGGTAAATAGTACTTGGTCAATATTTTTACAAAGCTGTTTTTAAATGAATAATTTTAATATGTAACTGGTTTTTAATGTCATATTTCTTTTTTACTTTTTGCTAATTTTTATGTGAAGAGCGGTGAGCCTAGCCCTAGGCTGGGGTACCGCGCTATATAAGACCACTTTAATAATAATAATGTTTTCATTTATTTTTGTTTATTTTTCTCCAAAGAGTTAGAGCAGATTTTGATGAACCAGAACAAAGTACAATTATAGGATCTCATGGGTATTGTACACAGGTAAATTCAATCAACATTTTATGTTTTTATAACTAACTTTCAACAATACCTTCCTGATACATAAAAAAAAGTACAGTAATCATAAAATTTGGCATTGGTACCCATGGATATTGTTATCAAATAGAAATATTTAACTAATATTAGAAATTAATGCAAATGAACAAATACAAGAGTTAATGAAACAAAAGTTTAATTATTAAAATAGGTTTGGGCTAACCTAGTTAGATGTAAAAGTAAAAACTTGAAAAAAATGCAATTATAGGGTCCCTCTCCACCTATTGACTTTCCTCCACTTATACCAATTTACTAACAGTATTTCTTTCTATCCCCCTTCTCTATGCGTTTAAAAAAAGGGAATCTCATATTATGTATATAATTTATATTGCACACAATTTAACTTTTTATAGTTATAGTAAAAAAGAAATAAAGTGTTAAAATATCCAACAGTAGACAACCATTTTAAAAAAATAAACCCAATTTTTTTGTTTAGCAAATATGTTTTTTTTTCTCTCAATATTTTCATGTCTTTTGATGAAAGTTATATTGAGTTGTCTTCACGAGGAGGGGATTTGATTTTGAGGGTGTTCCTTACCCAAAATGAATTCATTTGAATAGATAAATCTGAAATCTTGTTACCTCCATTAGATAAGAAGTTAAATCTAATGAAGTGTCCTTCGCCCCCCTCCCCGCCTTTATAAGTCTCCTAGAATGTGTGGCTTCAATCTTCCTGAAATCAAACTAATTTTAAAAAATTAATCATATCCCAGGCTTTAACTTAAAGTAAGGATTATTATGTTTATAAATGGTTAAACTTAGTATAAATACATTGTCATATTTTTTGGGGGGCATCCGTCTGTCACACTGTGAAATGGTGTAGACTTCATATAACAAAATCACAAGGACTGGAATATTGCATGGTTATAGCATGTGATCATGATACATGATACAAAGTTATTGTTGGCATTGGAATGTATTACCAAATTTTAAATATTTTGCTTTCAAGGAATTAGTCAATCTCTTTTTGACTGGTCGAGCTGTGTCAAATGTTTTTAATGATATTGAGCGACTGGAAGGAAGTGGCCTTGGAGATACTGTGATTCTTAAGGGTATTTCTGCTCGTTCTGATATCGGACTGCTGTCATTGTTTGAGCATTACAAATCTTGCCAAGTAAATATTTTTTATTTTAGAAATTACCTTTAGCTCTTACTCATATTTTGAACTTGATTATTTTTTTGGAGCTTATTTAAAATTATTTTACTATAAATAAAGTTTCTAGGTCATACTTCTTCAAATATCTGAGCAGCCGTTTAAAGAATGGCAATATGTAAGTCATTTTCCAGTTTGGCAGTCAAATATCAAGATAAAAAATATTAGAAGGAATTAATTTTACTCAATAAATATGTTTATCATCTTTTCTTTTCAGGTAGGAACTTATTACAAAACTCCAAAAAATCCAATTTGGGTGGTGTGTAGTGAGAGCCATTTTAGTGTACTTTTTGCCATAAAAAGAGACTTGGTCAACGACTGGAAGGCAGAGAGACGATTCGACTTATTTTACTATGATGGTCTCAGTAATCAACAAGAGGAAATCAAGCTTACTATTAGTATGTATTTTGGCCAAGAGTTTGATGTTGGGGAGGACAAATTATTTATCTGAATTAAATTTAAAATGAGCAATTATATTTCCATAGTTGAAGAAAAACATAATTGAAATTCATCCATTCCTTTCAGTCATTCATACTGTGTAAAAAAAATTACCTTTAAGTATTTGAACCAAGTAATTTAAATTTGTGACCCCAGCTGAGACTCCTTCTGTGAGGTCCTGGTTGCCGTGGCACCTTTTTTGGAAGTTGAAGAGATGCGTACCGGTACTTAAACTTAAAAAAAGGCACTTTTTAAAATTCTTTGTTTGCAAAATATACCTGTATTCATGTTTTTAAGAGTCATCAATGTTTGTGTGAGGACACTTTTTTTAAATGTATTATATTATTTATATCGAACGAATTTAAATACAGACTGGTTGCAATCGAATTAACCAATTACAATTGTTTAACTGTGTTTAGTTTGTTTTAGCAATGATCATATCATTTCTTATCAAATAAATATGTGTTTATTTTTTTAACTTTTTTAGGCACAATAAACCAGTCATACAAACCTCCCACATCTGAGGATGATCTTGTTCCACCACTTGAACACTGCATTAGGACAAAGTAAGTTCACTGATCTGGTCGTCCTTAGTTTAAAACCCTATGTGTTCTTTTATTCTGTTAATATATTTGCATATTTGAGTTAATTAATTTTTGCAGCATTACAATGCCATACAATTGAATGATAAAATGGTGCCTTCAATTTTAGGTGGGCTGATGCAGAGATAGACTGGAATGGATATGAGCCAATACTTTGAGGAAACTGGTCAATGAAACTTGGCCTATTCACACTTATTTTAGATGGATCTTCTTGACCTCTTTTACAATCTAAATATTTTTTTATTGCATTTGAGACATGACAGCTCTAGTTTTAAAATTTCTTGAAAGGAGATTTATCTATTTTGTGAAAACTATTGATTTTAAAAATTTTTTTTTTTTTTTACTTCAGGATTGAATTAAACTTGAATTTTTCCTCCTCTAAGAAAGAAATGGATCAATTTTTCAAAGATTATGTGCAATTTGTTATCAAATTATTTTATTGCAACTTTATTTTTTTAAAAACAAATAAAATACGCCCACTAACATGTATGTACAGACTCTTCTGTAGGAGTCCTATTATTAGCAAAGCGAGTCGACTCAGCTGTCTCAAGACTTCAATGCTATTATTTTGGAATTCACAGTGCCAAAAAACTGGCTTTGGATACAGATACACACTCAACATTATTCCTAACTTCATTAATGAAATTAATGCCTTTGAAAAAAATATTAATTTACAGCTGATATCCATAAATTGTAAGTAAGTCAGTTATGGTTTCAGAAACCTATGGGATGGATTAGCTTTACCAGAAGGTGACGCAAAGAAGAAACCTAGTCAAGGTGCTGCTCAGAGCTGTGATTCCCCCCCCCCCCCCCCCTTTCCCTGCCAAGCAATAATAGGCTTGATTATTATCTGTGATATTTAAACCATCTTAATCCTTCTTGCCCTCTCTCTCCTACACTATGTGAGTAGTAATGACCAAGAGGGAATCATATCTGGTACCGGGTACTGGAAGTTAGTGACAATAGTTTTTTTTGTTTTTTTTTTGTTTTTTTTTGTTTGAAAGTCTTACCAATCTGTGATTTGCCCACTTACTTCCTATACGATAGTTAAACTGGACATTTATTACTGAGAAATGAGAACTAGAAATGAACAAGGGTGAGCACAGCTATTCCCTTTTGACTCTTTCAATGAGTTCTCTTTTAAGATGACTCAGCTGCTTTATTCAGATGAGTGTTTCCCAACAAATGTGAATCAGACACCAGAAAAAAAATCACAGGAATGTCACAATTTTTTATATAAGAGAATAAAAATAATGTGGGGTAAAAAGTGTACAATGATTCCATGTAAGTAAAATGGGATGTGTAATATAAAAACCAATCTAATAGGTTTTGTATAAATACAATTTTTAAAAAAAAATTCTTTGATAGAGCCAACAGCCAATATTTTTATACTTTATAGGATGTGCTGCAGAAATTTAGTGCTAGAAAGAATTAGTTTGTTGTAACATAAAACAAGATGAAAACTGCTCATTTAGATACAGTAGTAATTTTCTTTAGTAAGTTTGACTAAAATTGTAAAAAAAAATTGTATAACAGTGTATTTAAACTTTTATGACCGGAATGAACATTGTGTGAAAGTATTTTGATGCCAGAAGGTTGGTAAATAACATGGATTCATGTACAGACTCTTCTTTAAGAGCCCTATTTTAGCAAAGTGAGTTGACTCAACTGTCTCAAGACTGCAGCTGAACGACTTTCTCAAGACTTCAGCTGAACAGCTGTCTCAAGACTTCAGCTGAACACTTTGTTGTCTATTTAAAATAATTTTACATAATTGTTCTCAAATTTTACATTAGATTTTTAAAATTCATTTTACAAAATACTGATTAATAAAAAATACTGCTGACAATTACAGTCATTTTAATGTTGTTTATTTTAAGACATTAGACATTGTCCATTTCACATGTATTATTAAAGCTACATAGTCCTTAAAATATGTGTTCAACTGTAATATTACTACCTCACTCTTACTAAAAAAAATCCTGCCTCAAGCAACTGTGTGGCTTCCGAGTTGAAAGTGCTCCCTTAATTTAATGTAATGTGAAAATCTTGCAAAAAAGAATAAAACTGGACAAAATTACATAAGACATCCTTTTATATGTTGAATAGCATTATTTTCATAAATATGAATTTATAGATTTATAAACTCGACTATGGAATTAAAGGCACATAAAACAATCTTCCTTCTAATATATAGAGCAATTTTAATAATAGTTTTATGTGAAAGTCCTAAAACTAACTCTAGTTAATTGAGAAATGTCATTTTCTTTTTTATTAAATTTAACACATACAAATATATATTTTAAGTGACTTATCCAAATTAATCAATATATTTTATTTCAAATTTGAGTTGAATTAATTTTATTTGTCATGTTTTCTGACAGCAAATCTTTTCTCAAAACTGTGGTTGCACAATCCACAATGTAATGAAGATTCAAGGCTCCTTGCTGTCAGACATTCTCGACAAATTAAATGACCACATGGGATTTGATATTTTATTATTTTTATCTTGTTATCTGACAAAATCTGTTGGCACAATGAACATCCATCATTTTCAACATTTACATCACTACAAGCATCTGTTGCTGAACTATATGAAAAACTACTCCGCACTGCAGAGAGAGCCAAGTTTAAACTGTCTTTCAGTTGAGTCTCATGTGATGAGAAGTCTGCAGATGTTACTGGAATTATGCTGTCATTTTGTGAAGCTCTTTTACTTTCAGACTTTGTGAGAGTTTGAGTCGTGTTGACCTGAATATGATGACGTTGGATAGAAGTGTGATCTAGTGATGGTAAAACTGTATTTGATATATTTATTACTGGCATTTCTTTTTTTTGTTCATCTCCTTTGTTTGCTTGCAAGCTCTCAGTTATCGGATCAGATATTAGGGATGAAACACCCTTATTAACCTTCTGACCTGTCAACTTTCGTTTACCCAGAAGAGTATTACCAGCACCTGCTACAGTTCTAGGAATACTTCCAATCACTTTATCATTACTGTTTTTCATTAGAAAGTGATCAATCCTTGCTTTCAGTACTCCATTTGGAACAGGTTTGTTGGCATTGGAGAATTCCACACCTGTGAATGGGTCCCGTGGTTTTCTCCCATAAGAAGCTTCTGTGTTAAAGTAGCGATCTAATGTAGACATGTCAACATTCTTTCCACAAGGAAGTAACATAGGTATAGCCATGACTTCACAAGTTATGGAGTCCAAGAAGTCTTCTGGAATATCACACACTCTTTGTTTCTCTTCTACTTGGCCGTTTGTTCCTAGTGATTTGTTACTGTGTTCATTGTTGGTTAAATCATGGGTGCTGCTAAGGGGAGCTTTCATACAGATAGGATTAATGTATTCCTTATAACTCTTGACAATATTTTCTTTAATGGTAGCAGGAACTAAAATGGAAGGCATTCCCCAAATGTCTACATTGCTCACAGCTGCCGTTGAGCCACTAACAGTTCTTAAAATCCTTATTGTTATGTGGCTTGATGCAGTGAGAAGGTCTTTTTTAAAATGCTGCATAACTACTTTATTTTGGCAATGATCACCAGGATAATTGTTTGAAAAATGTGTACCAACTTTTGGATTGAAAAAACAAACAGGTTCACTTGTGAAAACTGTTAGTCTTGAAACTGGATAGGAAATAGCTAACGGGGAGACAGAAGTGCTCAAGGAATTTGTGTGTGATGAAGAAGCAGAACTGCCAGGAGGGGTAGACACTGCAGTTTCATTATTATGAAATTTCTTTGCATTAATATTTTTTGACATAGGTCTGGAGGCAGAAAGCAATTCTAGATGAGATGACTGCTGCTGGCCAACACATGGAGTAAGAACTATTTGATGAATATAAACATTGCATGGAAATCGGAATGTTATATTAACAGGAGGCTTCAGGAAATGCTCTGCTAAAAATCCTTTCCTTCTGAGGTGCCAGTTTTCACTGATCAAGTTGGTACATTCATATCCATCTGTGTTGACTTTGTCACTTGAGACACTTGTTCCTACAGTATGCAGTGCAAAATTGATCAGCATGTTTAAACAAGTACTCTGAAAAAGTAAAAAAAGAAAAATACAGATGCAAACAGGTTTAGGATAGATAAAGTGAACTCAAGAATATGTTTTACTTTTTTAAGAAACTAACATGGTTTTTAGGTTTTTATTTTAAGATTTTGAAAAGACTAAAAAAATCAGTCCCATTTTTTGGTATTGTATAGGTTAGAGCGCTACAACTGATGTAGTTGATGCTTGTTGTGCCAAGCAAAATGACTTGAAAATATGATCAAACACTGTTGATACAAAAGGGACATTGACTAGCCCTGAGGCTCTTAACATGAAGTCAGAGAACAGCATACTAGATTTTAAGTACATAGATCTCAGTGTAAAAGTTAGGTTTATTTTCATTTTTGATTACCAGCAGCAGAATATTTGTTGTGAATTTTGTTTTCCCATTATTTGTGTATTGGTGCAATACAGACAGTTAATAGTATAATTTTTTTTAATATGGAGTAATACAGTGTAATCTGAACAATTCAAAGGAAAATATATACCATATTTTTTGGCGTATAACACGCCCCCCGCGTATAACACGCATCTCTCTTTAAGAAGGAAATTTCAGGAAAAAAAACTAAACATTATATCAGCGTATAACTTATAACACAAACACATGATTTGCCCCCTATTTTCGGGGAGAAAAAGTGTGTGTTATACGCCAATAAATACGGTAATTAAAATGGGCTAACGTTTTTATTTGCTTTATTTATATTCTTAATGAGCCCATAATGCTATTAGATATATGACTCTTTATGCATAAGAAAAGAAGTGTTAATAATAATGTGAATACTTTTCTAAAAAGTTTTTTTTTTTTAAAATCTTTCTTTTGTGATGTCATGTGCTGCCCTTGGCTCTGCTGAAAAACTAATCCTAGGGTAGTCCTGGTAAACAGAGCCATTATAATTTATACTAATTAAACTTACCGGTAAAGTTAATGAATGGAAATATATTGTAAATAATAAAGTATGTGTAATAAGATATGGGTAGAGTCATCTCAACATCATTGAGTCAATCCACAGCTGGAAAAATAAATAAATAAAATAATATAGAATATAGTAGGAAGGCTTTTCATCTACATTCTATATTGTCTATATATCCATACAGTACATAGTGTTACACAGGCTAGTACCAGCTAAAAATTACAATATCAATAGCTAATGACAACAACTGAAAAAGTTTCAAAGTAGCCTACTGGTATTAATTTACAAATACTAATAATACATGAATTCTTCTATTTCCGTCAAATATAAATATGACATTGAAATAATTATGCTGACTATTTTTAACTATTTAATCCTAATAGTTAAATAATTAATTTAATAGTAATACGACGGGGGAGGGGGGTGTTAGTACTAGACTAATGATCTGATGTATTAGCCTATATCACACTATATTGTAGTTAGGCCCTGCCTATAGTTTAAGTTAGGCTGTGACTATTCGTACCCGGTACCAGAAGTGAGAGGTTGGGATTAAAAAACAAGTTAAAATATTATTGTTGAGTTTGTAACACAAAATCAGGTATCAAATGAAAGATTGAATTGAATGGACTATATGTTTGTAAACTTACTTGTTCAGTTTAACAAAAATAAACTACCACAAATGACATCTGAATAGCTTGAGTCCTGGGTGTGAATGGCCGTGCTGCGTGTCTGGGTCCATTATGACTCGGTGCTATTCGGATGTCATTTGTGGTACCGGTAGTTTATTTTAGGATGAAGGAAGTGTACAAACATATAGTATAGTCCATTCAATTATCTTTATTTGATACCTCATTTTGTCTTACAAATCCAAAAATAAAATTTTAAGTAATTTTTTAATCCCAACCTCTCACTTCTGGTACCCGGGTACGAATAGCCACTTCGTAAAGGTATACTTCTCTAGTGACTCTAGTCTATAGTTATATTATTATTATATTATAGCTCGCGAGCCGCATGCGGCTCTTTTGATGTCAAGAGGCGGCTCTCCAGTTCCATGCGCAAATATTAATAATTATATTAAAATTAATTTAATCAAAATGTTAGTGGCTCTTTAAAAACTGGTAAATTTTGTAAGTTGTAACTTTTGGCTCTTCCGGCTCAAAAGGTTGCCGACCCCTGGTATAGACTTTAGAGATTTAATAGGAAAAAGTTTAATTAATTATTAAAATTATTTGGCCGGTAGGTGCTATAAATTTTATAAATTAATTATAGGCATAGTACTACTAGTCTAGTACAAATGAATGTAAATCTTCTTCTTTTAATATTGTTCGATGTGATGTCTTCATAATTAATAAATTAGTAGGCAATGTGTCTATGATTATGAGTAATATGATGCACTAATATTAATAATAGTAGTAGTACACTAAATAGAGGCATTTGCAGTATTATTCTGACGTCACTGGACTAAACTCTAACTCTCAGTGAATTCAATAATTGAACTAGTAACACTGTCACTATCCTGAATGCTGTTCACTTTTTTTGTCAAAAAAGAGTTGACGAGTATTGACTTTTTCTCAGATTTTCTGATTCTTATACAGCTACAAAGTTCAATATTAGGTAACGTGCATTACCTCGAAAGTTTCCTCTTATGTCATTTCATTCAGAGTAGTCTAGAGATTGATTTTAAAATGACAATAAAGAGTAACAAGTTTTGAAATTCCGTCTTAAGTTATATGCGTCTGAAGTCTGGACCCACACAGTTTAAAAGTTACAGTAATGTGTAAAGTAGCGAATAAAATATTTGACGTTTGTTATACTCGGCGCTGTACGTACATCCTCTTTGGATAACCAACTGCTAGCTATGGCATCATTTACAAATTAAAATTCAATTTAACTTAACAAATTTGACACTGGAAAAATAAAGAATGGCGCTGTCTACGATGCTTCGGTACGCTCATGTCTGCTCGTAAGATATAGTGGCATAGTGGTAAGGACTTTTTTTTCACTCCATGACTAGTTAAATGATAAATGGCTTAAACTTAAAATGGTATTACTAAGCATTCAATCATTCAATATAATATAAACATAATAAAGCCACTAATCACTAAGCCTAAAGATAAATATTCAGACAAAAGGATTAAAGCTAAGCCAAACTATTTCTGAATTTCTAACTCTATCATTGTCTTGAGACATGCCAGGCATGGCTATGACTCAGTATGAATATGATCCATGGTCATCATCATGTACAGTTTAGCTAGGCCTAAATTATAAATAGTAAATCATTTTAAATCAGGCTATTTAATTGAAGTATTAGGAAAAGAAAGTGATGATAGAGTATAGAGCTAACATCTAGTATCATGCCTATGCCCATTTAGACCTAAGTGAAGTGCCTTCTTGCCTGGAGCCATCCATAATTAACATCTCACAAATTTTGCTGATTTTTTAACCCAGTTTAAAAATAAAATAATTATAACTTGTACAATTACAAAAGAAGAAATGTTAAAAATTTCTGTAATTTAATGTTATGAAGAGCAATATATTTCAAGAATTTTACGCTTTTATTGTAACTTCACAATGCTTAACACCCCCCTCGGTCACACTTTGTCACAAAAATGTGACCCCACTCCCCCCTGTATGGGTAGCCCCTGCCTTATATACTTATAAGTAATAAGTAGCCTAATTATAATAGTAGTAGTAGTAGGAGTGTAGCAAGTTGGCAAGGGATTGACTTGAGGAGGGATATTATTCTGCATATTTTTCATGGTATTTTGCTTTTAAACTGTAACTTAAGTCTAATTACAGACTAATTATAATATTTATTTTTCCTCTTATAACATATAAAATAAAATAATGTATAATTTAACATTCACATAAATAAGATAATGGAGAAAGAGGACTTGCTGGGTCCTATTCGGAAGATTTCATCGCGACATCGAAAGAGATCCCATTCTGGCACAGATAAGCAGTTCTCAGCAGATGTTGCTATTTCTAAAAGTGATAAAAAGATATGTGCAACAGAAGTAATAGAGGAATTAAAGGTATATTATATAGACAAGATATATTCTATCACAACAACTTTCATGAATACACTTTTGACTGGTGTACATTCCAGGGTTTTCTCTATGAAAGAAGAAGCATTCTTATCTTGTCTCACCCTCAATACTTAATTATGAATTTTATACCACATCACAATGTACGTTATACAGAAAATAGATGTAGTGGTAGCCTAAATAATTAAAAGTGTATTTTATTTTACCACTGTTGTCATTAATTTGTTTAAACATTTTAATAATAATTCTTGCGACTCATTGCTTTCTTTTTACAAATAGAAATACTAGGTAAATAAATATTATTGTTTAATTGTGTTCATGTTCACACTTGACCTTTTACCTGCAGGGTCTGCATCAAGATGACTTTCATACTTTGAATGAGAGTGACTTAGCTCTTGCTGAAATAGATATCGAGACATCCTCCGAGGGGCTCAGTTGCATTCAAAAGGAATCTCATATTTCTTATAATATTAAAAAAATGCCTTCTCACCCTCCATTAAAAATTGTATCAGACAATATTTTCCAAATAGAAACCCAAAGGACCTACATCCTTGATCAGACAACTTCACAACAAATAAATGAAAACACAGAGCTGTGCTCAGCTGAAGTTGACCTTTTTGAAGATTTTGAAATTGAAGAAAGTGAAAATTCCTCGGAAAGATTCATTCATGATTGTTGCAGTAATCAAAAAGTATGTTGTGGTACAGAGAAAGTTCTAACATTAAACTATTCCTCTGTACATATTAATGAAAATAATTCTGTGATTGATCTTGAACTTACAACAAACAACACAACAGAAAATACAATGGAAACAAAAACAGAGATTGCCAGCCATAGTGATTATTTATCAGAATACTTTTTCACAAGCTCAACAAGAAGTAATACTAACCTTCGGGAGAAGTCACCAGTTAAAAATGAGACTTATTGTTCTCATACAGCTGATACATTACAGAGGCCAATAACTTCAAAAGTTGAAATCAAATCTGAAACACAGGGTTTTAAAAATATAACCTCAAACAATGAGGAGGACCATTATTTTTTGAAGAGTGAAAAGACAAACATTACCCCCATAGGTGATAATTGGGATAAAAGACCTAAAGAGAATACTTCACTGAAAGAAAGATTAAAACAAAGACTGAAGGAAAATGCAGGGAAAGTTGCACCAAAACAAGACCTGGAAGGAGACATGAAGAAAGAAGCCATGCAGCAAGCACAACTTGATGCCTCACAGATTAGAAAAGAAGGGTCCAAAGTTGACATCGGACCTTTCTATGGACTTCCCGCCAAAGTGCAACTTTTGTTTGAAAATAAAAGGAGCATTAAAAAACTTTATGGTAAGTTTTTATGTTCATAATTTTGATGTCTTGAATTTGTGCCTATGTCACAGAGAATTTCTTAAAGTGATGATATAGGAATGTCTTAAACTTGTGCATAATATTTGGCACTTGTGAAAAGTCTGTGAAATCTAATATCCAAGAATTATATGAAAGTTAATGTAATTGTTAGTTCTAACAGCTGTGACAATGAATTCTTTAAGAAAAATATAGTTTAATTGTAATTGGTAAATTTGTTGTTGAAATGTTTTAAATGTTGAAAACATTAAATTAAAAGTGCTAAAACAAGTGGGATGTAAGTCTCACCTAAGGAAGTCAATAGAAGTCAAGAGTAAATAGAAACTTTTAAAAATTTGTGTATAACTTTGAATTATTTTATCAAATTAGCAGATATCAAGTATAGTTTACACTAGTAATTAAAATATTAAATTAAATATTTGAAAACCCAGACTGGCAGAATGAGTGTTTACAACTGAAGGCTGTGAAGGAACACAGAAACCTTATTTACAGTCTGCCCACCAGTGGCGGGAAGACTCTAGTGGCAGAGGTCCTCATCATGAGGGAGCTGCTGTGTTATGAAAAAGACACACTGCTAATTTTACCTTTTGTTTCCATCGTTCAAGAAAAGGTTAGACCAGTTATTTGTATGTGTATTTTTAAATATTTTTTTTAACTCATCATAAATAAAATGAAACCAGTAAAAAGCTAATTTTAAAAAAAAAACAATATCATAGCAGTTTTTAAAAAAATATTAAGTCTCTTGTAATCAGACTTTAACAAGCAATTTCATTTATCCATGCAATAAAGAAAAACAAACATCATTATCATCATCATTGGCGCTACAGCCGATGTATAGCCCTGGCCTGGTCCATCACATCCATTTCGGGAAATCCATGACTTTCCGCCTCCATGCGCAAACCACCAACTGGTGTAAATCCTTCTCCACATTGTCGATCTACCTCAGCCTTGGGCGACCAGTGAGTCGTCTGCCCTAGGTTTCTGCCTGTATATCACTTTTTCTGCTCTACATTCCTGCATCCTTTCAGTATGACCTGCCCAGAGCAGTCTGCCCTTTTTATTGTTGTGACTATGGGTGGGTCTTTGTACAGTTGGTTTGTTCAGATTCTTCAGACATCATTTTCCATCATTGGGCCATATATTTTTCTGAGGATTTTCCTCTCCCATGTATTGAGAAGGTTCTCTGCTTTTCTGGTAACGGTTAAAGTCTCACTAGCGTAAGTTACTACTGGTCTTATGATAGTGGTGTATAATGTCTTCTTTGTTCCCCTTGAGAGGTTTCCGCTTATTTTATTTTTAATTATTTAAAATAAAATAATTAATTATCTTTAATTATTAAAAAAAATTTCCCAGTAGCTTTTGTAGGCTAAAATAGGAACGGTTGCGTGCTGTTATCCTTTCTTTCACCTCCGACATTATTTCATTGTTCTCATTGTTCATTTTATAGTTGCCCCTAAATATTTGAATGTGATCACTCTCTCAAATTTGTTGTTGTTTATTTTGATGTTATCATCAGCATGGGAGTTTCTTGACATTATCATATATTTTGTCTTTGGTTCAATTACATCAAGACCATCTTTGACTGAGGCATTTTCAAGTTCCCTGAATGCTTTAATTATGTCATTACTGTTTCTACCCAGTAACGCTATATCGCCTGCTTATGACAGTTACTGCAATGGCTGGCTATATAAGGTTCCTGATGGTTGTTGTTCTGTAATACCCCCCTGGAAGTAGTTTGTTATGGTTCCACTGGTGCTCAAGTGTATGCTTTTATTAACTTTTTCTAACGTGACGTTAAACAGGATACATGACAGTGAATCTCCTTGTCAGAGGCCCTGATTAACTGGGAACTCCCTTGAGTATTCTCCCTGCACCTTGATAGTACTTTTGGAGTTAGCCATCATCATATGTATGAACCAAGTAGCTTGTTAGGGACTCCAAGTTCTTGTAGAGCATTGTATAAGTAATTCCTGTCCATGCTATCATATTCTGTTTTGTAATCTACGTATAGCTGGTGAATGTCACTGTTATATTTATAACATTTCTCCAGGAGACATCTCATAGTTAAAATATGATCTGTGGTTGATCTATTCTGCCGGAATCCGCATTGGTAGTCCCCTAGGATCTGTTCACTATACCTAGACCTGTTTACTCTTACGATTTTGGCGTACAATGTACGATTTTAAGGTGTATAGATTGTATATACTGTTTATTTTTTACTATAAATATAACGTATTGAAAGATTTTGTGATGATATTCTACGATTTTAAGAGTTTGAGGGTAAACAGGTCTGCTATACCTTTCCAGTTTTCTTGCTATAAGTTTTGTGAGAATTTTGTACATTACATTAGTTTGAGCAGACCAACTTAGATCCATTTTTGTGAATTGGGATTATGAGTGCCCCATTCTATTGGCATTTCTTCCTCCTGCCAGATTCTGGATATGAGGTCGTGGATTTGCCTATGCAGTTCGTTACCATCTAGCTTTATCAGTTCTGCAGAGATAAGATCTATTCCTGGGGCTTTGTTATTTTTCATGGTGAAGATCACATCTTTTATTCCATTTAATGTTTGTTGGTTGACCAATGGGTCCGGTCTTCCTTGTAGTAGATCGTAATTCTCATTGGTTCCTGAGCCATTCAGTAAGCCTTCAAATTGTTGTGTCCATTTCTCTAGTACTCTACTGCTCTCTGTGATCAATTTTCCACCCGTATTTTCACAGATGTAGGATTTTGCCTGAAAGCCACTCGCTTTATCTTCAGGTATATTTCCCTCACAACTCTTTCTTTTGCCAACTGCTATCTCTACTATTTTTTATTTTTCCCTAACACATTGTTTCTTTCTGCAAATTTTGCTAGCCACCCTTCTTGTTTCATTAAATAATTGCAGTGTTCTTCTTGTCTCCCTTTGCAGCATCATTAGCTGTGCTTTGTTTCTTTGTTCTTTAAGTTCTTTGCATTCTGCTTCATACCATCCTGTTCTTTTAACTATCGGTTTAAATCCATTAGTTTCCCCTGTTACACCTTTTACTATTTGCTTCATCTTTTCCCATTGCTCGTTTGTATCAGCGTTGCTGGCTGATTCCCTTTTGGATAATTCTAGTTGAGTTTCAATCATATGTTGATATTCCGGTCAATGAGTACGTGGTCAATTTGATTACGGGTAAATCCATCTGGAGATATCCATGTTACTTTATGTATTTGTTTGTGTTGGAATATTGTGCTACTGATTGTCATTCCTTTTCCGTTGGTGCTTGTGGGCAGATTAACTGATGTTAAACATTTTTCCTCTTATCCTCATGAAGTATAGTCTTTCACTCACTTATTTAAATCCAATGACTGCATTTACTGTGTCTCTTTTGACTGCAAACCTTGTTCCTAAGGTGTTTGTGTTGTTTCCACAGTAGAATATTGTATACTTCTTAGTACTTAATATATCTGAGTCTTTCTATATGATCTCCTGCAGCGCCAAATTACAATTCTATATCTTAACAATTCGTCACTGAGGCGGGCCAATGCTCCCGCTCTGTATAGACTAAGTACATTCCAGGCTGCTATCCGTATATCATATTTTTGTTCAGGCATGGGTCAAAATCCAAAATTATCAGTCCGTTTTTCTGTATGTGGTTTAGCTTACGTAATGCTTGCTTTTTTACATGACAGAGTTGTCAGCCCAGCAAACAACCATCTGGGGGGATGCCCCTTGCAGCTCTCAGGGTAGCTGCCTTTGCATTGGGTTGGGTCCCTAGCCTATGTGGATCCCTCCACTTCCTACAAGGCAGTAGGTACTGATTTTGGTCCGCCCCGGCTATTTCCCCAGTACCCACCATATCTGGTGGGCTGTCGCCTGTCCGCCACCTGGGGAGGCGCTCGTTAGAAGATCAGTATCTCCTCACAATATTACTTATTTATAGAAAAATAAATTTGTTTACTTATCATCACATTAGGTTCGAAACATCTCAGAATTTGCTGTGGAGTTAGGTTTTATTGTGGAAGAATATGCTGGCAGCAAAGGTAGATTTCCACCAACCAAAAGACAGAGGAAGAAGTCATTATATATAGCAACCATAGAGAAAGCCCATTCACTGGTGAACAGTTTGATAGAGACTGACAGGATGGCCTCACTAGGCCTTGTTGTGGTAGATGAGGTGAGATAAATGCCGATATCATGTGTTATTTTCAGTGATAAGATGTAATTGTTAAGTCGAAATCAGCTGATATGATGAAGTAGATGACTTTAGTGGATTTTAATGTAAAAACAAATATTAAAATGCTGCCACTGTCATTCATTTAGAAAGACTATTACGTCTGCTAAAATATTCTTTAAAAATCTTAAATTATTTAAATATTGCAAGCCGCATAATGGAGGCTTTGATGCTGCCTTTTCCTCTCTTATTTGATATCAACATTTTGAGCCTTACTGTCTTAGAGAAAATGATACATGAAAGGCAGCCATAGATATTCTCTCTGTCTAACGGGACATTCTATTTAAAAAATGAACGCTTTTAATTTTTAATTTTGAAAATAAACAATTTTTTTTAAAGTAAGCTCATGTGACAAAAAAAAACTTACACATTTTTTTTTTGACGCAGAGGAACATAAATATGTTTGTGAGTTTTTTTTTAAAATTTTAATTTCTATATTGATTTCCAGCTCCACATGATTGGAGAAGGTGGTTCTAGAGGAGCGACGTTAGAAGCCACCCTCATGAAAATTACAACAGCAAACAGTGGGTAAAATTTCTTAGGTGTTTTAAAGTTTATTTTCAATCTACAAATTATAAATACTAATGCAAACGTTATCCTTTAAATTACAAAATCCCAAACTTTTTCACTATTATATAAAAAAGTGATTAAATCATAAATTTGCAATCTTGCATTAAACTTAATTTAAATTATGCAAGGAAAAAAATTGAGCTGGGCTTGTATTTTTCTATTAGTTTTTATTGTAATTTTAAAAATATTTGTGTCCTCTGAAATAATTATAAAGGGTACTGTCAAATATAATTATATTGAATCAGTAACTGTCCTTCAGAACTCCATGCTTTGTAAAACATATTATTTTAAGAAAGACTTTGATAGAGGACCTATTATTGTTATAAGCACACTTTTATTGTCTTTACAAAAACTAGTCTTAGTATCCATCCTTGTGGTGCTACGGCCCATGAAGGGCTTTGGCCTGCCTCACCACATTCTTCCACTCAGACCTAACTAATGCTTTTATTTTCCTTGCGTAGATTCCAAGCAGCTGTAGATCTTTAACTACATCATCTATCCATCTAAGGCTAGGTCTACCTTTGAATCGTTTTACCATTTGGTTGGCTATGGCTCCCGCTCTAAATAGGCTTAGTACGTTCCAAGGCCACAATCCGAAGTCATGTAGATGCTAGTATTTGCATATTCCTATTATTGTTAGTTCAATGATGTACTTTCAGGTAACACACAGATCATTGGCATGAGCGCAACACTCAACAACATCAAGGACTTACAGGATTTCTTGGCTGCAGAGGTTTACTACAATGACTTTAGACCGGTGTGTACCAACTAAATAATGCTTTGTTTCATTCAGAAAATGTTTGCTTTCCATAAGTAACACACAAATGCAATTTATTTGGAAAGCTGTTTGTTGATTACATTGAAAACCAAATCTAATAGTGCTTGGAGCTTCTAAACTTTTGAAAATTATATTTAGTTTCAGTTTCTTTATTTGTAAAACTCTGTTCAATTTACTAGTTTCTTTGTGCCTTGTTAATGTTTCAAAGCCAAGCTAAGATTAAAAAATCCACAAATCTGATAGAGGATAGGAAACATCAGTTTTGGATTAATTTGTCATGGAGAAAACTGAATTTTAGCATTGAATGTGAAAGTGAGACGGTAAAAAAAAATGTTAATGTTTAATGCCAGATGAGATTATTTTAAACGGATGCAAGAAATATGATTGGAAGGTGGGGAAAACGTCTGTGTGGTTGGTGTAAATTGTTATATTATAAGAACTGTGCAGCAATAAATTTATCCAGTATAATGAGATTAATGACATTTGTTTGAAAAACTCTTTCAGGTTATATTGGAGGAATATGTCAAAGTGGAGGACAACTTGTTCAAAGTGAATCAGAAAGCTTTGGATCAGGATAGCAAGCTTGAGCATGAACGCTTCCTAACCTATCCGGTATCTATATCTATCTTTTTCATAGTAATTGTTCAATTGGTTTAAAGTTATAACCGCAAGGATATGCTTTTCCTTTTTTTTTTCATTTTTATAGTGCCGCCACTTTAGCCGACATTTTTTTTATCAGCTTTTTATAAAGTACTTCACCTTTTATCTACTTTTTTGTTACAGTAGTTTGCCATTTATCTACAACTTTAAAGAATCCACTTAATAAAACGTATGCCTACTGTTTCAGTTTCAACCAATTTCTATATCTGATTGAGGATTTACTATTTTTAAACCAAGCTTTTCAACTGCGAATCTTATTTATTTAATGTATCTTCCCCCTCCCCAGTACAACAAGGAGCTCCACAGAGAGGACCCTGATCTCCTGCTGGGTCTGGTGACTGAAGTCATACCAGAAAAATCATGCTTAGTATTTTGTCCCACAAAGAAAAACTGTGAGAATGTTGCCCAACTGTTGAGCCAACTTATCTGCAAACACCGCAGGTTATTTAATTATTGTGATGAACAAACTTTGGGGCTCAATATTGCAGTTAGTCAGAATTAAAATCAAGTTATTTTTGTTTCAAATATATCAAGCTTAAATTGTCTTTAAATTTGTACTTTTGAAGCAATTTGTGGCTTTATTGTATTAACCTGTAAAGATCTGTAAATTATAATTATTGACATACAAATTCTATAGTACTTAAGTCATGAGTTAGTTTTTAAATTAAGAAAACTATCTTCTACTTTAATTTGAGCTGTGCTGTATGTTTGGTTGGATTTAAAATATTTTTAAAAAAATCTATTTATGCGCAACAGGGACTTGGTGAATGTTAACCAAGACAAGCGCAAACAACTTTTGCAAGAGCTGCTGAGAGATGGTGATGGGATGATTTGTCCAGTTTTAGAATACACCATCCATTTTGGCATTGCTTACCATCACAGTGGTTTGACCATGGACGAACGGTTTTTAATTGAAGAGGCTTATTCGAATGGAGTTCTATGCCTTCTCACGTGTACTTCAACTTTGGCTGCAGGAGTTAACCTTCCTGCCAAAAGGTTTGTAATATTCAAGCATCTGAATAGTTAATTCATGGTTGTCTTAGTCATGATTATTACTTCATAGTTTTTGATGACCTGATCCATAACTTCAAGTTATCAATGACCCATTCTGTTTATGCATAATTGTCACTGTCATGGTTCTTAGTTCTTGATTGTCAAATTCCTCTTTTTAAACCTAGTTATCACTTTGTTAAATGGATGTCTGTTGGCATTTGTTTCACCTTATAGTAATTGGTCTAAAACTGTTACTTTGATTTTGCTCCAGGGTTATCCTTAGGAGTCCTTACATTGGTAATAGCTTCATCAAATTCAGCCAGTACAAACAAATGACTGGCAGAGCTGGCCGTGCAGGCATCGACACATCAGGGGAGAGCATTGTTATTGTTAACAGCAAAGACAAGATCAAAGTAAAGTAGTCGGATTTAAAAAAAATGTTTATTTCAGTTTTGATATAATTTACTAAGCTTTAATTTATATATTTTTATTACATGTTTAAAACATCATCCTGATCTAGAACGGATTAAATAAATGAGTTTTGTATCTATAATTCATCATCATCATGTCCCTTAGTCCTTGGACCGTTGGGGCGCCACAGATGACATGTGAACTATAATTATAACATATTTAACTTATATTTATACTGCATTCATCATGTTAAGTTTTAAAAAACAACGTTATTTAAAGTTCTATAACTTAAATAGAAGTTATAACAAAATTGTACTTTTGTTTTGGTAATTTTAGGTGAAAGACTTACTAGGAGGTCCTCACGATTACTGTCACAGCAGTCTAGGCTATGATGGAGGAAAAGGAGTACGATGCCTGCTTCTTTCTGTAATAGGCTTGAAGGTAGGATGGTCAAATAGCATCTTGAGATGACATTAAACTAGCCTTGATCAAGTGCATATTCAGTCCATCAGGACTCTGGATCTGCCACTTAGTTTTAAGTAGTAGTGTGACGAACTAATTGATAAACAGAAGAAACCTGGCGATTTTATTTATTTCCCTTGGCCCTTTGGAAAAAAAATAATTTAGATCAACAGTTATACCCCCTTGTGATATCTAAAATTAAAACTAAAAAGGTCCCACAAACATCTGTTTCTTCCTTGTCAACCAACCGTTTTATCCCACAGATAGTGTCAACAACAGATGCTGCCTTTGAATTCATGCAGAAATCCTTGCTACACATCCAGGCAGGGTGTCTTGGAGCAGACATTGCCACTCTGACCCGGGAAGCACTGCAGTACCTTATAGATGAGGAGTTAGTTGTGCAGACCAGGGCAACTGATAATGAAACCCCTGAAGAGAAATGTTTTCTGCAGGTTACTCCTTTAGGAAATGCCACTTTTAAAGGTTAAGAGCTGAGAACAAAGAGCCTATGTCATTGCTTATTACAAATTTTGATTGTTATATAACACAGGTCCCCCAAAATTGTTTGAGTCTTGAAATTGTTTTATAGAGGCAAAGTGACCTATGACCCTGATCCATTACAAATGGCGTTTTTAATAAGGAAAACACACTATATTTTTTCAGTACAATATATTTCAATATAATTTCAACTTACATCATATTTAATGTGATGACTGAAATTGTAATTAACAGGCTTCAAAACTCAGATTGATTTTTCTGTGATGTTTGTTAACCTCACCTCATCACCAGATTTAATTATTTTTCCAAATTTTTTCAAATGAAGTAGTGTTAAAAATCCACTCTCCCCGATATGTATGGAAGGCAATGGCTTGATTATTATTATTATATTCAAACTTTAAGAGACTGATTGCTATAAAATTAGTTATTATTTTTGTACCCAGTAAAAGAAATCATTGCATCAATGGCATTTATTTTCAACCTCAGGATCTATCGACCACATCTACAGTGGGCAGCTCTACAAAGACTTGAACAAAGCCAAGGAGTCACTCAATCTGTCAACTTACTTGCATTTGTTGTATCTTGTCACCCCCTATGACATGTCTGGCTCAGTGGTGCCAGACTGGAAAGTATACTTTGATCAGGTAATAAGAAAAGTGAGATGATATGGAATAAATATATTCAAATCTATCCACAAATAGAGTTATAAATTATTATCATAATTATTCAAAATAGAATTCTAACAAAATAGTTGTTTTATCCTCTTCTAAACACCCCCCCCCCCCCCCCCCCCAACTTCAACCATGTTACATTTTGGTGATTCTGTAAATGCACATAATATGAAGTCCTTGTTCACAAATTCCAAAGATTTGATTTGTCCTGCATCTGTAATGAAATATACATTTTTAATGATAGATTAATCAAATTAAATTTTTTCAATTTGTCATAATTGTAGAAGATTCCCCCATGCTCAAAAGTCCACAGTACACATTTTACCTTAAATTTGTTGTTTTCTAAATTTTAAAAGTATTTTCTTCCATAATTTGCTATGAATTTTATCAAAATGTTCAAAGAATGTAGTGCATGTTTTAGAATAAAAACCATTGTAAAAATAAGGCATAATGCACAAGGGACATTAATAGAAGATAATAATTCCAAAACTAAAATGCTAGAAACCATAAAATGTTTGAAAAAGAAACTATTTGGACTTTCTAACAAAACCTATTTATATTTTTTTTTGTCTCATGTAAGAAAATTTTAAGATTCTTTGTTCTACAAATAAAAAAATTAAAAAAATTTTAATTATTATTTTTTTGCGGGGGAATTGCAGTTGAGCATAACATGTCTAACTACATATGACCTATTTTTGCATCTAGTATTGCAAATTGAAAGATATTGAACTGAAAACTGCTGGGGCCATAGGAGTGCAAGAGAACTACCTCGGCTTGAGAGCCGCTGGGCACAAACCTAGAGCAGTGAGTCTTTTTTAATCTTTTTAAATGGAAAGCAAATTCTTTAACAGTATATACTTTCACTTGAATAAGGTCTAAAAATTTAATGTAAGGTTTAAGTTTAAGTTCTACATTTATATTTTAAGTATATATATACACAATTTTCTTTTACATTAAGTGCAATGGTACTGAAATAGACTTAGTGTTAAATATTTTTTGTGTGGTTTATTTTAATAATAATGTGACAAAAATCATGTAGAAGTTTAAAGAGGAAGTATCTTCTCTTTATAACGCTAGCAATCAATATAAAGCTTTGTTGCACAAATCTTTTTATATTAAAACTATAAACTTCTAATCTGTAACAGAACTGTCTGTATTTTTTTTCTATTTTGCTCTAGAAAGTCTGTGAGCTGACCATCCAGCGATTCTATCTGTCATTGATGCTGTGGGACCTCTGGAATCAGAAATCTGTATGGGAGGTGGCAAACAGGTTTTCTCAGACACGTGGTTTTGTTCAGAATCTTCTCACCCAAGCTGCATCTTTCGCTTCATGCATTTTTCATTTCTGTAAGGTATAAGATAAAGATTTATGACTATATACTGGAAAAATATCAATTTAAGTGTGAAGTGACATTGTTTTTTTAATGTAAATTTATTTTTACTGTTGGATTGTATTTACATATTTGAAACTTCATTAAAATAACTAATAAAGCATGTGTTGGGGGTGGGAGGCTGGACCAGTGTTTGGGTGCTGAGCCCTGAGGCCAGTCTTGATTACCAGATATGCTACTTGTATAAAACAATAAATGAGTATTAAAAAAAAAAATTTCTATTGTCCAGGAGTTAGAAGAGTTCTGGGCCTACCAACAACTGCTTGAACATTTTATTAAAAAATTAACCTACTGTGTGAGCATAGAGTTATTGCCACTCATGGAAATCCCAGGCGTTAAACTGGTAGGCTGCTAATTGTTTTTTTTAAATAGTGTTTTTGTGTTATAGGCCAGATATTTGCTTACACTACATTTTTCAGTATGATATTGAAACATGTGTCATCTTGTGTCCCCCATATACCTAACGTATGATTCAGCTCCTTACCAAATTTTATATTTTTAGAAATAGTTTTTTTATGGTCTGAAATTAAAAAATGCAAAGGGGATAAAAAAAATATATTTAAAGTTTAATTGCATGTAAATGTTAGAGATATTATGGAAAATGATAAAATTAGGTATAATCTTCATCATTGTATTTTAAAAAATTAAATATGCTTAATTAACTTAATTTACAATAATTTGTTCCTTCAGTTATAAGATTATCAAAGTTTGTGTGTTAAAAGTAAACATTTGGGTTACAGAAGCATTATGCACTGATAGTGATACCAACTGCCTATTGCCTCTGTGTCAATCTTCCCATTGCTGATGGTAGTCATTTGACACATCTTTGTTCAACAGGCAAGAGCAAAAATGTTGCACGCAGCTGGGTACAAGAGTATCTCAGTCCTTGCGTCTGCTGAAGTCAACAACCTTGTCCAAAGCGTGGAGCATCTGTCCAAGCGTACAGCTCAGCAAATCATTGCAGCAGCCAAGGTAATTCATTTTTAAACCCTAACACAGATACTATATGCAACTTATGAGGATGGGGTGAAAACTTAGTATCAGGAACTACACTTTTATTTACCACTTTTTAAAAACCAAGGCAGAGTAAAACAAATAACCATGCTATAAAAAACCATTAAATTTTTTTTTTTTTTTAAATTTAACTAAAAGCTTTTGTTGTGTTAAGTATCACTTTAATGTCTTTTTTAAATTTACATCAGTGTCAAAGTGCAGATGTATGGGCTCTGTTCAAATATTTTTTCCCATTAAAGTCTTTGATCATTAAAATTTTCTGGGCTTATTTTGAATTGGGTTATTTTTATGAACCATTTATTTTCAGAACATGATTGAGGAGAAAAAAGCAGCTCTGCTGGAGGAGGTCGAGTCCTTGGTTAGCTTGCCAGGCAACCTATCAGCAACATAGTCAAAGTGGCAGTCTTTAGCAATTGACAATCCCTTCATGGCGATATCGCATTTGTGACCAGATAGGGGAGATAACTTGTGTGTGCAATATAGACATTGTTTTTTTTTGTTCCTGACCTCTTTTGCCTGCATGGGCACCACAGTTAAAGAGCTTTGAACAAAGATGATCAGATCAGCAATCAAAGTCACTGGGCAAAAGCATTACACTGGAGCCATTGTTGGAAAGATATAACTGCTTTGAACAAAGGAGCATCAACTGCCCTATGATTCCATGCCTAGGGAAGTGATGAAGACCTTGAATGTACCAAAAACAGTCACCCCTACAACAGCTGGTATTTCTTTTTGAAAGCCTGCAAGAAATAGACAACCCAAGGGTGAAACAATATAGTAATGGTCTGAAAATTTAAACAGGTGCAGGATTCTATAACCAGGTATTGGAAACCATTTTGTACACATGACAATTTATACTGGTGTTTAATGCTTTGAAAATGGAGCCCATTATTTGCGAAGGCATGTTGAATGTTTAATTTAAAATTAACAGTTCTCATGTGGAAACCAATTATCATTTTACCTGCATGTTACACCAATGGGTGCCATGTTAGGCAAAGTGAGTAGGAGCTATTCTTGTCAGATAAACTAGCGGGGACAAGGGGTGGATTAAGTGTTAGTTAATTGTTGACATGGTCAGGTGCCACGCGGGGTAGATGAGCTAATTCATGACATTAAACTCTATTGTAAAAGAGGAAGTGTAAGTGTTTGGGATAGGCCTACTATGATGATGATGTTAATAATAAATTTTTATAAGGGCTGCCCAGACAGAAATAAAACTGAAGACAGCGACATGATAAATTATCAGAGGACACAAAATTAGAATTAATGTTTTTTTACGGCACCGTATTGCTACCTCTAAGACATGCTACCACAAAGACATGCTATGACACTGACCTGTTGCCACACAGAAATGTTACCATACTGACATATTAATAACATTGACATTGGTGTGACATGCTACTGCTTGACATTTAATGAACTTAGGTCCAGATGTCACCACCATGACATGCTACCACAACAACATGTTATCACAGTGACACTGACTTACCAGATTGACATTTTTTTTATTATTATTATCATATAATTTTATGATTATTAACTGACTGAAATACTCATCCTGCCACAAGCCAATACAAAAACTGGCAGAAACCCACCAGACACATTCCCTATGGCAGCTTTTGAAAATACAAAAAGAGTGCTAGCAAAATTATAATATTTTCTTTAACAAATCTATCAATTACTAATTTGATTTTAATTATCAATTCATTTATTATTTTCGTCTCTATTTTTTATAATGAAAGAAGCTGCGACTTCACACCCACATTTAAAATGTTAATTTAAAAAATTCATATTCTCTTATCTTTACTATACCGGTACCATAAAGTCTTATAATAACCTGCACAAAGTGTGCTGCAGTGCAGGGTAATCACATAATTTTTTTAAAAATTATTATTACAGTATTACCAGGTACCATTGTGTCATTGAGGCATCTATTTTCCATAATTTCAAAAGTAAAAGTTTTAAAAATCTTTACTGATTTGATTTGTGAAGAAATAAGTGATGCATCAGTGAATATTACCCACACGTCATATTTCTTGAACTGCAAGTAAATGCTGTCAAAGCCTTCAAATTTCAAAGCTGATTTGACAATGTCGAATTTTCCTGTCTGCATTACAAGTACGGGTGCTGGCAAACCTTAAATTGTTTGGTAGATTACACTATCAGAGCACATTATCAGCTTAAGTCTACAAAAAGATGTTTTGTCCCTTCATCATCATGTGTTCACCATCACTCTGTATCATATTCCTTTGTGACTTTCATCACAGAATGTTTTGTGTGGTACTGTAAATTACTGTAATGCCTTGATTAACATTTTATCAAATGTTTTTAATTGACCATTTTACAATAATGTTGTGTAAGTGATAAAAAAAATAATGATTCATGATTCCATTGCTGCTTATGTTTAAAAAAAAAAAATTAGAACAATTAACAATCAACTGTTCTTTGTTATTCTTATAAAAATAGTTTTATTCTGAGTTTTCACAAAATTCACCAGGTAGTGGTGACCATATAGCAAGATCTATTGTGTAACATCTGCTAGCTCACATGTATATGACCTGACGTGGACTAGAGTGGCCGATAGACCAGAGATAAATATCAAAAGCGGCCCTATCCTACTTATTTTCCTTTGTGGGGGCTTGTGATTTGTTTTCAGCCAAGATCACAGATAAGCTGACAATGACAATGAGACATTCATAAAAAAAAAGTTACACTGTTTCGTGTTCTTGTGGTAGGGATATTGCAAACCAATGAAATGGATTGGCTTTCATTATCTTAAGATAAATCTGGCTTTACTTTATTTATTTTATTTTATTTTTTTTAAATAAATTATTTCCCCTTAAAAAGAAATTTTATAAATTAGATTATTTTTGTATTCCTCAATTGTTTCAATGGTATCTCTAAGTTTTCAAACTGAATAATATACTCAATTATTATTGTATTGTACAACATTTTAAAATACGTTATTTGACTAGTATCAGTTTATGTTTAAACCAATACAAGATGTGCCGGCCTTTAAGCAATGCAACCTACCATCAGCTCCCAAAATGATTTTTAGTCGATATTAATTATTCAGTGGTGCTCCATTCAAAGAAGGGTACCATCACCTGACCGTACCTGGGCCACATCTTATTATTATTGAGCATAAACTTTGATTTTATATGCAGGTATTACTGTTATTCAGAAATTATTTAATATATTAATTCATTTTATAATTATGTTACAAAAAAATGGTGATGAAATGATTGACTTGAAAGTCACAATTATCTCTTGACATGATTCACTATCGTTTCAACTATTTTTAAAAAGTTTTCAAGTGCTAAATCCAACTTAAGTCTAAAAGTAGATTATTTTTGCCTTGAGGCAAAGCCATGCACTAAATTTCAGCCATGTAGTTTCCTGCAACATGCCTAGTGTGAATAACCAAAATACATACATTTCATACATATATATATATATATATATATATATATATAAATACACTATATACACACATGCATATACATGTAAACATTACACACGAACCAATTGAAGTTGATCAAAACTTGTCCCGATGTAAAAAAGGAAGGTAATTAAAAAAAAAATTTAATGAAACTTTTCACACATCTCAAAATAAAAATATTCTCACTTGAGGAAAAGATAAAACATTACATTAAATTGACTTACGCCTGATTTCAATATTCATTTTTTTTCACATCTTTCAAATATTTGTGTATTTTTCTAAAAAAATATATATTTTAGAAAGAATACTTTTAAATTTTAAATCGAAGATTAAAAAAAAAGATAGTTTCTTCAGACTAAGGTTAATTCTATTGATTGTGCTGAATTAATACAACTTCCTTGTATGAAATCGTCAAAGTTTTAGTTAAACATCATCGTGAATTGAATGCCAATAGAAATAATCGATGCTCTAGATCAGAAGAGATTTGAGCAACTGCAAAAATTGACAGGATCTAAATTCATTGGCTTTGTTTCACAAGAACATGACGTCATTGCATATACTTTGGGAGATCCTTACTGCATCTATTGGCGTAGCAAAGTTGGCTTTGTTTGACAAGAACATGATGTCATCGAGGCACCTGGATGCAATTTGGGAAGTCCTTATTGCATCTATTGGCGTAGCAAAGTTCCTCCATGGACGTCTGGGCCGCCTGAAACTCATCAGGAATGAAGATGGAATGTCGAGCATTGACCTTGCGGTGCAACACTAACAGACGCGCTTTCCACTGCCAGGGAAATGACTGCACCATGCACATGAGTGCCTCGGAGTAAACCTTGTCCCAGAAGACGAAGACCGGAGCGTTGACCAAGCACGAGATGAAGCCGACGAACATGGTGATGTGCTCTATTATTTTGGCCGTGCTTAAGGGGACGAGGGCGTTGTAGACCAGGCGGTAACCCACAAAGTAAGGCAGCCATAAGACGATGTACACCACCGTGAAACTGAAAGCCATCTTCACGCTGGAAACCCGCTGCAGGAATAGCGCGGACGCGTCGGCGCTGTACATGCTAGTCCTCCGGCTCTGCGCCTGCCTCTTGTCGTCTCTGGCGAGTCGGACGAAAGTGAGGACGTAGAGCACGAGGGCCAGCCCCAGGCACATCGGCATCGTCACGACGGTCGTCCAGTACACGAAGTTCGGGGCCAGGATGAAGTAGTGGTAGCAGTGCTTGTCCCGCTGGTACAGCAGCAGCGTGCTCCAGCGCATGATGGGCAGGGTCGACAGCATGATGACCCCGAGCCAGATGAGGTTCACGGCGGCGCCCGTGTTCTCCAGGGTCATGAAGTTGCGGTACACCAGCGGCGACATGACGGCTATGTACCGGTCGACGGACAGCATCAGGATGGTGTAGTTGATGCCGCACAGCACGGCGTTGACGCTTGTGATCCAGACGACGCAGAGGTACCGGTACTCCATGATGAACTCGTGGATCAGCACGGCGACGGGCAGGTTGATGCCGCCGAGGATGAGGCCGGCGATGGCGAGGCTCATGATGTAGATGGTCGTGTTCATCAGCCCCCCGGGGTACAGGAGGATGGCGGCGATGAGCATGAAGTTGGTGAAGACAATGACGGGAGCGATGAGGGCGCCGCCGAGGACGTAGGCGGAATGAAGGATAATGCTCTCGTCGCTCAGGTCCTCGCTAGTCACTTGGTGGGATGTGTTTAATATCATGTCACTGCAAAAAAAAACAAAAAAACACCGAATCTCTCTACACGCTGGGTTTCCTGGACCCTGGAAAAGAAATGGATAGTAACGCAGACTCATGGGATTAACACCGATATCCAATGAACACGCGTATTCAAACTTTTAAAAAAAAACGCACTCACGAATACCCCATAGAACTATAAAAATACACTGGTATACCCCACAAAGCTATAACATAAATTGATGTGCGACACACAACTAAAACAAACGTTGGTATGGCACACACAAAATATACCGTAACATATTCTTGTATTCGGGACGAACCTATTCTATTATTTCTATAGCATCCTTCAAATATCTTAGAACATATTTTTTTTTTCTCCCTAAACGTTCGAATGAGACAATGAGTAGATTCAAACGTCTGTATATTTGTTTCTGACCCCCAAAGCCCATTCATCAAAACTTGTAAACATTTAATTTTCTCCTACTAAACAAACACGTGGTGCAGAACCTTGGCCATTTACTAAATAATTTCGTATAAACCTTTTAAGATCAAGCAACTCATTATTTTCAATCGATATTAAAATGAAAGGGATCCCCCCTCCCCCCCCCCCCTTTTTTTTCTTCCAGCCGGAACATCGATCAAATTCATCACCTGCGTTGTTTCCAAAAATGCCATTGCAATTTGCGAGCTTTGCTGTAAAATAATTTCGTATAAACCTTTTAAGATCAAGCAACTCATTATTTTCAATCGATATTAAAATGAAAGGTATCCCCCCTCCCCCCCCCCCTTTTTTTTCTTCCAGCCGGAACATCGATCAAATTCATCACCTGCGTTGTTTCCAAAAATGCCATTGCAATTTGCGAGCTTTGCTGTACCGGTATCAGGTGGGTTTTTTTAATTTATTATTATTATTTTTTAAAGCGTTCAATTAAAAGTTAATTATTCCTAAGATGTTATAAGACTCATTGACTCTCATAAAACTTGCTTACGTAGAAAATTTTTGTAGTGGCAACACCAACATACTCTCCACACCGCGTGTCTGGATGAAATCATAAAACGGGTTTTAAAAAAAAAAAATAATAATTTTTTTCTAGGTTAAAATTTAGAAAATTTGGGGGAAGCGTTTCACTTAAGTTTCTAAGCTCTCAATGAGTCTTGAAAATAAACATCTTACATGGTCAAGTCAAGACTCTTCGTGCTAAAATAAAGATATAAGTTAGACGAACTATTAACGTTATTAACGAAGTCAACTCGACACCTCGCTTATGAGTCCCATAGGGACGGGATCCCACTTGAAAATGATATCCTACTTGGAAATGGGATCCCACCGGTAACTCAATTAGGTCGGAATCCCACAAGGGTCAGGACCCACTAGAATATGGGATTCCCATTTGGACAAGGATCAGGATCCAAATGGGGACGGGATCTCAATAGGTTCGTGATCCCGTCGGGGTCGGGATACCGACGGGACAGGGATACCAATGGGATCGGGAGGCAGTGCCGAGCAACGCCGGGTATATTGGCTAGTTATTATTATATTTAAAAAAAAAATCTTCTTAATCTTAAGCTCCTATAAAAATCTTACCAAACAAATTAGACGAGGTGATCCATTTTACAACCACCAGTAGCCATTTGCTTCTTTTCATAGTCAAGTCCCAATTAAAACAAAGCAAGACACCTAGCTCTTAGAATTCTAGCTGAATCGTATCAATATGCTCAGCCCCTTGTGATAAGCCCAACGACTTAGGCTAATGTAATTCCTTTTGACCAAATCCAGAGCGTATAATTTGTAATCACAACTTCTTCCGAGTGCATGGGTATAGTATATATAAATAGAGAGAGAGGGGGAGAGAGTTTCAGAAATCGAAAATGTTAAAACGGGTTTATTATTCCGTCATACTTTGTCAAGATGGTGACAAAATTTTAACTCATCATAACGATACAAACGAAGCTGTGTATAAGAGTTTCAAATTTAAAGAAATCTCTAAGGGAAGGGACAGATTTTGAATATAAATGATGGTTCATAGTCTATTCGAGCGCAATATATTTGTTTCATTTCTTCTGGGATAACATCCTAACACCGGAACAGGAAATCATTTAAAGTGACGTCCTATAGATTATTAAAAAATATCAACGTATTTAAGCACGAATGAATACGTGGGGTGTGGGAGCGAGGGGTGGCTTTTTAGAATATTGCGAGGATAATAGTTGGGCAACCGTGGAAATGTATCAAGTAATATTATTTACAACACATAATACATGTTTATGGTTGAAAAAAGCAAAATGTAGATCCGGCACTGTCTCTGCTCCTGTCAAAGCCCCACCCAAGTTTAATAGTATCACACTATTATTTGAATTGTTTTCTAAAGCCCACCAAGTGTGAAAATACAATATGAACATTTATTTTCCATATTCCGGGCGTCACGGCAACAGGTTTGAAAATTTTTGTTACTGCCCTTGTAAGCTAATTTCATATTTGTTAGATATTGTCAGATCAAAGTAATTAGTTGCACTCGCTGCTTACTTTTAGTCAAATTAACCGTACTCTATATTAATAGGTAATTTAAGGCCCCTCTTCTGTGAAAAATCTGTGTTAGGCTATTCTATTGTCCACGAGCTTTCTTAAATAGTTTTCTGTCAGAAACTCCCCGCCCCTTCCCTTCCCCCCCCCCCCAAATCACTCCTTAAAAAAAAAAAATCAACTTCGATGGTACACACCGTTCTTTGATTTATTGCTGTCCAGTCATGTTCAATTAAGATAAACAAGACATTTATTATGTTAAACCCCCCCCCCCTTCCCCTCCCCCCCCCCCCCAAATCACTCCTTAAAAAAAAAAAAATCAACTTCGATGGTACACACCGTTCTTTGATTTATTGCTGTCCAGTCATGTTCAATTAAGATAAACAAGACATTTATTATGTTTTCTTTAATATCTCTATTTTCACGTAGCTGCACAGGACAATAATTATGAAACTATACAGAAATGGGATATTAAAAGGGTTCTGTTATATAATTGTGTGTCGGTCATCCGTCTCAATGTGACAAAATCACAAGGCCTAGTAATTTCCTCTCTTTTTTTCCGAGGAGATTAAGCTGGTTCCCTAGACAGCAAATTACCCCTCTCAACACATTTGTATAAATCAAGGGATGATACAGCTTGGCGCCAGTGACATCGCAGGAGTTTTCGGAATTTTTCATTGGGCAAATTTTATCCACCTATGGGACTCCAATCTCCGGGTTTTAATTCAGAGTTTCCTTCCCTTAGATCAGGCATGCACAACTCAAAATGTTATGCGGGCCGTAATACTTTATGGAAAACTTGTGTGGGCCAAAAGATAATAGGACAGGGGGGAAAGCTATTAAGAAAATAATAATAATAAATAATATTTTGTTACTTCGCGGGCCGCAAAGAGTGCCTTAGATTACTCTCTTGCTTTGCCCCTCTCTCTCTCTTTGGCGGGGATTGAAGTCCGAACCAAAACCTTCACTAAATTTAGTCCTAGGAGGATAAGTAGTATTTACATAGTCCAATGAGATTATGCAATACCATCGTTATAGATTCGAGTGGATATTTCGGAGCCCTGAACTACTTTATAAGTTGTATAAGATTAGATGTTAGCCAATGTGTATGGAGACCTAATATGTTTAAGGAGACATGAATTGTGAATGTTTTTAGAAGAAAGTGTTTATTTAGAATGCATTTATTGAATAACTAGACGTAGCCCCCCAAACATTGGCGACAGCAATGCGTGAACTTCCCATCTACCAAAGTTACTTGACACTCAAGTAACGCACATTTAAGAATCCCAATTTTCGCTACACCATCGCCCCCCCCCCCCAATGATACGTCACTGCACACTTTTTAATTTCACGCCCATGAACTATATCAAATATTCTGATGTCCCAACCACTTTTAAACTGAATATATTTTACACCACACTTAAATTGAGACTATTTCATTTTCCGAAAAGAAAATATTACGCACCAAACGAAGTTGCGTTATCAAACATATGCAACTAGTTATAGCCCGCCAAACATTGGCGATGGCAATGCGTGAACTTCCCATCTACTAAAGTTACTTGACAAAACATTAATTCAGGTATCGCACATTTATGAATCCCAATTTTTGCTACACCCCACCCCCATGATACGTCACTGCACACTTTTTTTTTTCACGCCCATGAGCTATATTAAATATTCTGATGTCCCAAACACTTTTAAACGGAATTATTTTTTTTGCACCATACTTAAAGTGAGACGATTCACTTATCGAAAAATATTACGCACCAAACGAAGTTGCGTTATTAAAAAATAAAAACGATTTAGCGTAGTTATCGGGAATCATATTTTGCGCGCAAGTGAACTCATTATCTATATATAGGCCTGCGTGGTAGTGGTGTTTGACCTTTGCTGGCGAATTATATATAGAGATAGATTTTTTGTAATTACTCCCGATACCAAATACACTGAATAGGAAGCAGCCAGAAATGGAAGCAATCCACGAGTCACACCAGAAGCGTAATATATATATAAAGAGAGGGTTCACTTTAAAACAAATAAAAATAGATTAAATTGCAGCCATAAAAAGGCTAGAGCATTACTTATGTATAGATTTTATTCCGATAACATACATAAATACAACATTTTTTTTATACATTATGGTCCAATAGGTATAAAAATAAATAAATAAATATATAATGATTTCATTGTTTGGTGGGAGGGTCACTGGGTGTGATTGCACCCTCCTAAAAAAAAAAAAAAATAAAAAAAATACTAAAGGCCCAAAAGAAACCAGCAGTCAAGGTTCTCCTGAAAGAAGTGGCAGCCGACCCTCTTCCCCTCTAGGAACGGTATATATGAACCGCTCGAGTAGGTGCACATAATATAGAAGCAACATCATCGTCTCACGAGGGAACATCCATGAAGAACGTCACG